CCCACTAGTGGAAGGCACCTCCTAGGTGCCTTGGGGGGGAGGGAAACCTCCCTTGGCCGCCGCCCCCCTAGGAGATTGGATCTCCTAGGGCCGGCGCCCCCCCCCCCTTGGCCCTCCTATATATAGTGGGGGGAGGAGGGCTTTTCATCCACGCCTTTGGTTGCCTCCTTCTCCCTCTCCAACACCTCCTCCTCCTCCATAGTGCTTGGCGAAGCCCTGACGGAGTACTGCAGCTCCACCATCACCACACCATCGTGTTGCTGCTGGAGCCATCTTCCTCAACCTCTCCTTCCCTCTTGCTGGATCAAGAAGAAGGAGACGTTACGCTGACCGTACGTGTGTTGAACGCGGAGGTGCCGTCCGTTCGGTGCTAGGATCTCCGGTGATTTGGATCACGTCGTGTTCGACTACCTCAACCCGTTCTTTGAACGCTTCCGCTCGCGATCTACAAAGGTATGTAGATGCATCCGATCACTCGTTGCTAGATGAACTCATAGATGGATCTTGGTGAAACCGTAGGAAAATTTTTGTTTTCTGCAACGTTCCCCAACATTCTCTGCATCCACTTCCTTCCTGGCTGACGTCGCCGTTCTACCACCCCAGTCGCCCGCCAAGCCCTTGACAAACCTCATTAACCTCCGCCACTTCACCTGGTCGCCACACCGCTTTGCCTACGTCTTCGTTCCACACCTCACATTCGTCCGCTGCACAAGTACTATTCGCCCATGCAGTTGCCGTCAGTGGGGGTCACCATGCCCGGCAAGTGTTTGGTGAAATGGTTGTACTAAAATTTTGACAAATGTTCTCCCTTCTTTGAAGCAATGGATTTGGAGCGTGCAGAAGATCATCTTCTCAAGTTAAAGGGTCATCAATCGAGTGCTGAATTAGAACAAGGCACAGGGAATTTGACGCTCATGGATGACTACTTTGCCCCCGATGACCTATTCACAGACAATTTTCACCGACACTTTTGGATGCGGAAAATTGTGTTTGATCGCCTCCATGGCGTCCGGTCCTACGATGAATACTTCATCTTGAAGAAGGATGTTATAGGAAGAATTGGATTCTTCGGTTATCAGAAGTGCACGGTTGCATTGCGGATGCTAGCCTATGGTATCGCAGCAGATTCGGGGTCGAGTACTCTGGATGTCTGAGAGCACATGCGGAGACGCCATGGTGAGGTTTGCTACTGCGGTGGTCGAGATGTTTGGATCTTAGTACTTGAGAAAGCCAACTGTCGCAGATACCGAAAGGCTATGGTAATGTCCGAAGCAAGAGGGTGGCCAGGTATGCTTGGTCCTTGATTGCATGCACTGGAGATGGAAGAACTGCTCAGAAGCTCTACAAGGGGAACATCAGGCCCATGTTAAGAAGCTTACCATCATTCTTGAAGAAGTTGCATCGCGGGACTTCTGTATTTGACACACTTTTTTTTTGGCATGCACGGGTCTCACATTGACACCAATGTGTTGCATCTGTCTCCCTTGTTTGCTACGTTGACTGAAGGACAAGCTCCTCCATACAACTATATTGTCAATGGTCAACTATAACATGGACTACTATCCGATTGACAACATCTATCTTTTGTGGGCGACCTTCATCAAGATAATCACTGAGCTAGTTTGTCAGAAAAAGAGTTTACTTTGCCTAGAGACAAGAATGAACTCGAAAGGGTGTGAAGAGCATTTGGAGTGCTCCGACCAGTTTTGTAGTTGTTCGTAGACCTGCTAAATAATGGGATCCGGAGGCCTTGTTGGTGGTGATAACATGTTGTGTGATCGTGCACAACATGATCATGGAGGATGAGGGTGACGATGCTGCCACAGGTCCAAAATTTGAGAACATGGTTAATCCTATGCAACTTCTACATCAGAATCCGGCCACATTTGATGAATTTGTCCAAATGAATCAACAAATTCACTGTTGAGCAACTCATGAGCAGTGTAAGGAAGATCTGATTAAGCATTTGTGGGCAGTTAAAGGGGGCAACTAGAACATATGTCGAGTTGAATTCAAGTTTGAACTATTTTATTTCAAAACTTAGTTGGACTACTAAACGCTCTGTGCGTTGCAACGGGAGAAAAAAAATCATAATCTCCAATGGTCATGACCACATTTTTATTGCACCACTAAGATACATTATCACCCTCGTTTTCTTGAAATCGTGAACAATTTTTGAAACTCATGAACATTTTGTTAAACTCGTCAACATATGTGAAATCGTGAACATTTTTCACATTTGTGAACACTTTTACAGATTTTTGAACATTTTCTAAAATCATGAACATTTTTTGAATACATTAACACTTTACACTATTTTCAAATATATTTTTAATACATGAACATTTTCTAAAATTGTGAACATTTCTTGAATAGGCGCACTTTTCTAGAATTGACGAACATATTTTTGGAAATTGGTGAAACAATTTTTGAAATTGAAAAACATTTTTTGATTTAACGAACATTTTATGAATCAATAAACTATTTTATAATTCACAGATATTTTTTGAATTTTTAGGATATTTTATAATTCATGAACATTTTTTCAATTGGCAAAATTTTGTTTAAATTCTTTAATATTTTTTAATACATAAACTTTTCTCAATAATTGTGAATATTTTTTGATTTGCCGAACATTTTTTTAATTGCAAACATTTTGTAAACATGCGAACATTTTCTGAATCACCAAACATTAATGAATTATTAAACCTCTTATTTCGAAATTCACATTACTTTTTTTTTGAACTGTTTGAAGTTTCAAATTATTTAAAGTAGAAAAAACTAAGGCCTTCTTTGGTTTATAGGAATTTTGTATGAATTTCATAGGGTAGGATTTTTGTAGGAAAAATTCCTATGGAGCCCTTTGATTTGTAGGAATGGAATCCTATTCCTATGGAGGAATTCTTCCTATCATTTACATTTTATAGGAAAATAAACATTAGCCTAGACTCAATGAAAAAAATCATATGATGTGAAACAAAGGACATCTTCTTTTCTATTTCTACTCATAGGATTTGAGATGCATGTCATCTCATTTCCTATGACTTTCCTATTCCTATAATTTTCCTATCCTATGAACCAAAGGAGGCCTAAGATGGAAAAGAAAAAACGGAAAATAAAAAACAAAATATAAAAGCAGGACGCCCGGACATGGGCCAGCCCAAACAGACGTGTTATGTCTTCTCCCAGCGCGCAGAGCGCAGTATAAAAGGTTTCTACTGCATGGACCGGCCCAGGCAGGGGTTCACCTGTCTGGAATGTTTTTTATCAGTTAATGGCCCTGTTTGGTTCGGCTGTGGATTTCTAAAAGCAGCTGTGAAAAATCTGCTGTGAAAAAACAGTTGTGAAAAATCTGATTTGAAAAAAATGTAGGTCATTTGGCAAACCAGCTGATACAGCCTTTTCAGATTTTGGCCCGCAGCGGAATCAGATTTTGGAAAGCACGTCCTGGGCTGCTTCCGTTTTTGGTTCAGATTTTGGCAGCGGATTTCTGGAATCGAATTCTGCTGGGTTCGCCCTTTGGTTCATATTCTGCTGCGCGGCAGCGGAATCCAGCGATAAAAGCTGAACCAAACAGGGCCAATATAGGTGGCATTGGTGGATAATTTTTTGCAGTTTTGCAGGAAATTTTGGTGACATACTGCCAGAAGCAGTAACCCCTTATTATTATTATTATTATTATTATTATTATTATTATTATTACTACTACTACTACTACTACTACTACTAGTACCAGAAGGGCCCGTACATTGCAACAGAAAAAAAAATTCCAAACGCTATGACAACATTTTGCTGCATCACCGATAACATTTAGGCAAACATTTTGTTCAATTTACTTAACATTTTTTAATACACTAACTTTTTATTAAAATCATGAACTTATTTTGATTTCCTAAACATTTGTTTTAAAAATCGCGAACATTTTTAGAATATGTGAACATACTTACAAAAGATACAAACTGAATTCAAAAATATTTTATAATTTGTTGAACATTTTATTTGAAAATTATCTTTTCAAATTTCTGGAACTTTTTGAAGTACCAAATTATTTAAAGGAGAAAAAAGAAAATAAAAATAAAAAATGAAATTTGAAAACAGGCCGCCTCAAAAGAAGTCTTGCACCAGGAGGCCACCTCGGCGGCGCATGGCCCACACGCCATGGCGGCATGCCCTAGGGCTGGGTGTGTGGGGCCTGGATGCATCACCTCACCTAGGTTCTCGCCCCTGGCTCATAAATACCTCAAAAAAATTTGACATATTTACCACATATTGTTATTCTGCCGCCTTGTTCCATAGTGATCCAATTTGAAGTCATATTCCGCTACTCCGCTACTCTATCGGAGGAAGGAATTGTCGCCTCTATCATCAACATCAATCCTTATTGCTCCCGTGATGATGTGAGTAGTTCATCTCTAGGCTAGGGGTTTGTAGCGATATGTAGCATGTCCTCTCACATGCTTAACATGACTGTGATCCATATGGTGTTATGTGGTGAATTATAACTACATGATCATATTATATATGATAATTTGCATGATTACAAATGTGCATTCCTTCCCGACTTATTATGTTACTTGCACAGATGATCAGAGACTAGCTCATCATGTCTTGCATTGTTTCTTTGCACATGCAGACAATAGGTTACAGATTTACAGTTAAACACTGGCACACATGATACGTTTATCAAAGGACCTATGGTATTTTTATTACGTTTTGCAGCTGGGGGGAAATGTATTAAATTGTATTTACACACTGCTGAATAGAAATCTTGGGGCACATTCATGTTTGATCCACAAGACTGGAGGTTTTGCTGGTTCAGAACACAGTATGCAGAAGTACAAAACACGTCGCATTCTCTTCAGACTTGAGAAACAAATGCCAGATGAAAATACGCATTGCTCTGTAGTATCTATCAGGCAAAGAAATATTTCTTCCTGTATAAGTGTCTCCAAGGCTAGGGTGGAGAGGGTGTTCCCTGATTCTGCTGACCATTGTTAGGATCATCTACCTGCTGATTCCTTGAACTCGTTACCAGTGGGAGAAGGTGTTACCTGATCCTGTTTGCTATTGTTATGACCATCTTCTTGTTGTTCAGTCGATACTAGTTTCGAGATCTCGTCACAAGGAGGTGTTCCCTGATTTTGCTGGCTACTGCTAGGACAATCCCCTTGTCGTGCTGTCGAAACTAGTTTCTTGATCGCGTCAACACTGAGAGTTTCATGCTCCAGGAGGGCATTTGCCAGCGCATGGAGCTCCTTGTTGTGCTTCGTGAGAAGCGTTTTGGCATTCTTGTAAGCGTTGTCCAACAGTGCTTTCACCTCCTCATCAACCAGTTCTGACGTTCGTCCGCTCATGTTCTTCGTCTTGCCACCGCCAACATCGTCGTCATTGCTATAGGTAACAAGGCCGACCCGCTTGCTCATTCCATACCTGGTAACCATCTTTGTCGCCAGCTGAGTTGCCTGTCTAAGATCAGACAAGGCACCTGTGCCAACCCCTGCTTCTCCAAATATAAGCTCCTGGGCCACCCGCCCTCCCATGCAGACATCTAAATTCGCCAGCATCTGCTTCCTCGAGACTTCGAGCTCGCTGTCTTCCCCCGGCAGCTGCGCCACCATGCCAATAGTATATCCCCTAGGCATAATGGTGGCCTTGTGAACAGGGTCGGCATCGTCCGTGAGGATAGCAACAAGGGCATGCCCACCCTCATGGTATGCGATCATCTTCCTGTATTGATCAGATATCACCATCGACTTGCGCTCACTGCCCATCATGATCCTGTCCTTGGCGTACTCAAAGTGATCCATCCCAACAGCATTTGCTCCATCCATGGAAGCTTTGAGGGCGGCATCGTTCACTAGGCTTGCAAGGTGTGCACCTGAGAACCCAGGCGTCCCCCTCGCGATGGTCATCACATCCACACCCTTGGCTGTAGACACCTGCATGGAAGAATTCATGGAGTTAAGGTCAAAGCCTCGCATCAGAGGCTGCAAAAAATAAGCCTTATATACATACCTTTGACATGTAAGCCTCAAGGATCTGCCGTCGGCCCTCAACATCTGGAATAGGGACAATGACTTGACGGTCAAAACGCCCAGGCCTGACAAGGGCGCTGTCTAATGACTCGGGGAAGTTGGTTGCTGCAACCACAATTATCCCGTCATTCTGCTCGAAACCATCCATCTCAGAAAGCAGCTGGTTCAGGGTCTGACTTGCCAACGTCGAACCTCCTGCGTGTCTGCGCCCACCAATCGCATCAATTTCATCGATGAATATTATGCAAGGAGACAGCTGCTTTGCTGAATCAAAGATCTCCCGCACTCTCTTAGCCCCAAGACCTACATACACCTCCTCGAAATCACTGCCGCTACACGCAAAGAAAGGGACGCCAGCTTCCCCAGCCATAGCCCTTGCCAACATGGTCTTCCCTGTGCCGGGTGGGCCTATAAGTAAAACACCCTTCGGAAGCTTGCCACCAAGGCGTGTGAAATGCTGCAAAGAATGTAAAACTAGATGAACAACTCGGCACCGAGAAATAATTGTTGGATTGAAACGCCTGCACGCAGGTCGATGGTAATACCACACTCACGTCGGGATCTCGTAGGTAGTAAACTATGTCCTCGAGTTCAGCTTTGGCTTCGTCAACCCCCTTTACATCATTGAATTTTGTGCTTAAATCCGTGGCATCTTCTTCCGTGTCGTCAAGTTCTGTGTTGTCGACACTTACAGCCACAAACTTCGTGTAACTATCTTTGACAGCCTTAACGTAACTGTCAATCAAAACCTTAACGCCATAGATTGTAAAGCCAGAGACTACGAGGCCTCCACAGGTACGCAGAAGCTGCCTTTTAAGTAGGTCTTTATCTACTAAATAAAAGGGCGCACTGGCTGTACTGAGAACATGTCCTTCCTCCCTTGCTGCACCTGAAATTCCTGCATAGAGAACAGAAAAGATGTGGGTAAAAAGCTCATCCTACTCCTAAATTAGTAACCGTGACATATGAAAAGGCAGTTACCTCTATTTAGCATTTTGAAATTCTGCATAACTCTTTCTGGATCAGTTCTATGATTCTCTTTAGAAAGAGAAGCGACGCCATAGTGCACGCACCGTACCCTCTGACCAACAAAGCTTGATAGGTACCTCTGCTGTATATTCCTAAGCAGACTGCCTGCATTGGTTGAGCACCAAACCACAAGCAGAAACTTACAACCTCAGTGGCAACAACCAACCAAAAAAGGCATGGTCGAATGCAGAGTAATAAGACTAGTGGCAGGTCCACAAAAGGATACCGATCAAGGCTGTAGTTCATGTGTGTGGTGAAAAAAGAAGCATAGCTGCCATATAAGATACCTGCTCCAGAAGGTGCATTTGCAGCAGGTGCCCTGAAGGGAGGAAATGAACGCGTCGCCCCAGCCACAACCACAACATGCTTGGCAGCCTGCGAGACAAATACACGCAGAAATTAACACGGCGTAAACAACGGCAACGGCAATCGCAACCCATGAATTAACACGAGTGGCATCGATCCGAAACGCAGGACAGGCACTGCCTTGCAGCTGCAGTTTCAGCATCAGTTAACATGTATTCCGTTGGACAGAGGAACAGCCTCCTGAACCCAAAGAACAGAGCGAAATCATAACGAAATGGCAGCACAGGGGAATCAGATAGGAAGACAGATGAAGAAATACCCTGGAGAACGCGAGCCGGCCGGCCATGGTCATGGTGGACAGGACAGGACAGAGCAGGACGTGCTGCCGGAGATATGAGAAGAGAAGGCTCGAAGTGTGCGTGTTTTTGCCAGCCTCGTATTGCTGCTGTTAATCCCTCGAGACTAAGTGGTAGACGCGCAACATTCTACGCACAAACCTGCACGGCAACGGCAACGACAACGAACTCCGTAGCCGGACTCGAATCGATTGCAGCTTGAGGAGAGAGTTCGAATCACGCCTGATCCACGCAAAGAATCCGCACATTCGAATCGCCCGGATCCGACTCTACACCCAAACCGGTTCAACGGGTAACTGAGGATTTGGTTCGGAAACACGCGCCGCCGTATCTGGGGAAGAAGGGCATGGACCGGAGCCGGAGCCGGATCTGGTGGCGGAGCTCACCTGCGACTGTGAGGCCGGCCGTCACGAGCAGTGCTCCGCGCGCTCTCTCCGCCGGCTGCGAGCAGGGACCCGCGCGCCGCATCGATGCATCGCGGCCCCGGCGGCCGGGCTAGGGACAGGGGGGTGGTGGCGCTGCGTCGTCGGCGTGGCCGCCGTTGGGGAGCTCGCTCCGGGGAGCAGCCGACCAAACAGAACGCATCTTTTAGAATGCCATGACTTTTCAGAGTCCACTTTAAAATACTTTTAAGAATAAAAAACCTTTGAGATATTTGGCTCCAAAAAATACTCAATTGATAAGTGTCACGCGTCAAATGCGGGGCACTCCGGCATTGACGTTTTTCTATGAAAACAATTCCAGTCACACAAATATTGTAGGTCCATCTCATTAGATCTATATCTATATCTATACCTTTAAGGTGTGTTTCTTCGATTTTTTAAATACCTTCACTTATATTATTATTTTTGATTTTAAGATTCTTTTTACTATCCGATTCCTAGTTGGTACTAATTTTTGGCGCACGCTTGTTTAAAGTAATAATTACTTCGTTTTTGTTATTGAGCTTCGAAAAAAACTGGCCCGTTCATACAAAGCCATGTTCAACGATTTATCGTCCGATTTATCACTCCTGGGGGGCTGACCGATAAGATTATACCATGTCATCGTTGTTTATCATTTGGGTCGATTTATCACTCGGACAAGCGATTTATTGGGAATCTACCGATAAACCGGTCTTATTCTTACCACTATGTGTGTAAGTTTTAAGTTTATTTGTATTTTTTGGACCTTGTTATGTAATGTGTGTTGTTGCCCTATTTTGTTTGTCATTGTACAAGGATTCAAAGCCATGTAATCTCAAGGTAACACTTTTATCTGATACGTCTTTGTCGTATCTATAATTTTTTATTGTTCCATGTCAATATTCTACAATTTTCATATACTTTTGGCAACTTTTTATACTATTTTTGGGATTAACATATTGATTCAGTGCCCAGTGTTAGTTCCTGTCTGTTGCATGTTTTATGTTTCGCCGAATATCCATATCAAACGGAATCCAAACGGGATAAAAATGGACGGAGCTTATTTTTGGAATATTTGGAAAATTCCAGAAGAAAAATCCACGCGAGACGGTGCCCGAGGTGGCCACGAGGCAGGGGGCGCCCCTGACCCTCATGGGCCACCCGTAAGGCGGTTGATGCCCTTCTTCGGCCGCAAGAAAGCTATTTTTCAGGAAAAAATCACGGCGATGGTTTCGATCCAATCGGAGTTACGGATCTCCATATATACCCGAAACGGTGAAATGGCAGCAGGACAGAACGCAGAAACAGAGAGAGAGACAGAGAGACAGATCCAATCTCGAAGGGGCTCTCGCCCTCCCATGCCATGGAGGCCAAGGACCAGAGGGGAAACCCTTCTCCCATCTAGGGAGGAGATCAAGGAAGAAGAAGACGAAGGCCCCCCCCTCTTCGCTTCTCTTCCGGTGGCATCGGAACGCTGCCGTGGCCATCATCATTATCACCGCGATCTACTCCAACACCTCCGTCATCTTCACCAACATCTCCATCACCTTCTTCCCTCTATCTACAGCGGTCCACTCTCCCGCAACCCGTTGTACCCTCTACTTGAACATGATGCTTTATGCTTCATATTATTATCCAATGATGTGTTACCATCCTATAATGTCTAAGTAGATTTTCGTTGTCCTATCGGTGGTTGATGAATTGCTATGGTTGATTTAATTTGCTTGTGGTTATGTTGCTGTCCTTTGGTGCCCATCATATGAGCGCGCGCGTGGATCACACCATAGGGTTAGTTGTATGTTGATAGGACTATGTATTGGAGGGCAAGAGTGACAGAAGCTTCATAGAAATTGATGCATACGGGATTGAAAGGGGACCAATATATATTAATGCTATGGTTGGGTTTTACCTTAATGAACGTTAGTAGTTGCGGATGCTTGCTAATAGTTCCAATCATAAGTGCATAGAATTCCAAGTCAGGCATGACATGCTAGCAGTGGCCACACCCACATAATACTTGCTATCGGTCTAGTAAAGTAGTCAATTGCTTAGGGGCAATTTCGCAACTCCTACCACTACTTTTCCACACTCGCTATATTTACTTTATTGTTTTTTTACTTACAACAGCCCTAGCTTTTATTTACGTAATCTTTATTATCTTGCAAACCTATCCAACAACACATATAAAGTATTTCTAGTTTCATACTTGTTCTAGGTAAAGCGAACATCAAGCGTGCGTAGAGTTGTATCGATGGTCGATAGAACTTGAGAGAATATTTGTTCTGCCTTTAGCTCCTCGTTGGTTTCGACACTCTTACTTATCGAAAACTGTTGCGATCCCCTATACTTGTGGGTTATCACTATCCAATATTTTTTTGTTGAATATGGCATATTTTAGTACTAGAAACCTATGATTTGCAAACAAATGGAAAATTAATAATCGACCGATAAAATCAATTAATCGGCCAATTTTGATTAATCTCTAATCCCTAGTTGACCGAACGCTAACGATAAGCAATATCCTCAATATTGATGAAAGGTACCCCTGAAGTTGAGGAAAAGATCCATTATTGCCATTGTTATATTTATCTTAGAAAATTTTAAATTCTAAGCAATATTTGAAATTTTCAAACAAGTTTGAATAGAAAAATAAACTCGAAAAAGAAAAAGGAAAACGGTTTTTAAAAAGGAACATAAAAGAAAAATAAAAATAAACGTAAAACAAATAAAGAAAAATAAAAACCAAAATAAACCAGAAAACTGGTGAAAGAAAAAAACAGTGTTTGAACCGGTTGCTCGTTGTGGTCGAGTGGGCTGCTGATCCACATTACGATGCAGAGTTTGAGCCATGTGCTTGCTTTGGGCCTGTGGTGCCTGGGCCTAGGGCTGCTTCACATGGATCCAATTCTTGGGCCACCTTCTGTGCTAAAACAGAGGGTTCATTGATAATTAATACTAGATGATACCCCACGCGATTTACAGGAATTCATATTTTTTTGCGAGAAACTTTCAATCTATTCATCTTCAATAATTGCAATACAAAAAACGACAGAGGTAATAAAAATTACAACCATGTTCATGAACCACCTAGCGACGACTACAAGCACTGGAGCGAGCCGAAGGTGTGCGGCCGTCATCGCCCCTCCCTCACCGGAGCCGGGCAAATTTATTGTAGCAGACAGTCGGGAAGTCATCGTCCTAAGCCCCTATAGGACCGGCGCACCAGAGTAGCAACCATCGCCGATGAAGAAAGTCGTGTATCAGAAGGATCAAACCTATAAACACCTAAATAAAGACGAATGAAGTTCGGATCCAAATAGATCCACCGAGGACCAGCACCGACCGAATCGCGGAAGATCCGACGGAGACAAACCTCCACACGCCCTCCGACGATACTAGACGCACCATTGGGACGGGGATAGAACATAAGAGACATTATTCCTACTAAGGGACGTCGCCGCAGAAGGAAATATGCCCTAGAGGCAATAATAAAGTTATTATTTATTTCCTTATATCATGATAAAAGTTTATTATTCATGCTAGAATTGTATTAACCGGAAACATAATACATGTGTGAATACATAGACAAACAGAGTGTCACTAGTATGCCTCTACTAGACTAGCTTGTTAATCAAAGATGGTTATGTTTCCTAACCACGGACAAAGAGTTGTCATTTGATTAACAGGATCACATCATTAGTTGAATGATCTGATTGACATGACCCATTCCATTAGCTTAGCACCCGATCGTTTAGTATGTTGCTATTGCTTTCTTCATGACTTATACATGTTCCTATGACTATGAGATTATGCAACTCCCGTTTGCCAGAGGAATACTTTGTGTGCTACCAAACGTCACAACGTAACTGGGTGATTATAAAGGAGCTCTACAGGTGTCTCCAAAGGTACATGTTGGGTTGGTGTATTTCGAGATTAGGATTTGTCACTCCGATTGTCGGAGAGGTATCTCTGGGCCCTCTCGGTAATGCACATCACTTATGCCTTGCAAGCATTGCAACTAATGAGTTAGTTGCGGGATGATGTATTACAGAACGAGTAAAGAGACTTGCCGGTAACGAGATTGAACTAGGTATAGGATACCGACGATCGAATCTCAGGCAAGTAACATACCGATGACAAAGGGAACAACGTATGTTGTTATGCGGTCTGACCGATAAAAGATCTTCGTAGAATATGTAGGAGCCAATATGAGCATCCAGGTTCCGCTATTGGTTATTGACCGGAGACGTGTCTCGGTCATGTCTACATTGTTCTCGAACCCGTAGGGTCCGCACGCTTAAGGTTACGATGACAGTTATATTATGAGTTTATGCATTTTGATGTACCGAAGGTTTTTCAGAGTCCCGGATGTGATCACGGACATGACGAGGAGTCTCAAAATGGTCGAGACATAAAGATCGATATATTGGAAGCCTATGTTTGGATATCGGAAGTGTTCCGGGTGAAATCGGGATTTTACTGGAGTACCGGGAGGTTACCGGAACCCCCCGGGAGGTATATGGGCCTTAGTGGGCCTTAGTGGAAGAAGAGAAGAGGCAGCCAGGGCTGGGCCACGCGCCCCTCACCCCTAGTCCGAATAGGACAAGGAGAGAGGGGGCCGGCGCCCCCTCCTTCTCTCTCTCTCTTTTCCCACCCCACGAATCCTATTCCAACTAGGAAAGGGGGGGAGTCCTACTCCCAGAGGGAGTAGGACTCCTCCTGGCGCGCCACACCTTAGCCGGCCGGCCCCCCTCCCTTGAACCTTTATATACGGAGGCAGGGGCACCCCTAGAGACACAAGTTGATCCACGTGATCATACTCTTAGCCCTGTGCGGTGCCCCTTCCACCATAGTCCTCGGTAATATTGTAGCGGTGCTTAGGCGAAGTCTTGCGACGGTAGTACATCAAGATCGTCACCATGCCGTCGTGCTGACGGAACTCTTCCCCGACACTTTGCTGGATCGGAGTCCGGGGATCGTCATCGAGCTGAACGTGTGCTAGAACTCGGAGGTGCCGTAGTCTCGGTGCTTGATCGGTTGGGCCGTGGAGACGTACGACTACAT